GAAATAAGCGTGTTATTTATTAGAATGACGGATAAATGTTAATAAAAACAATATAAGAGCGGCGAAGTAAAAAGGAGAGAGAGAGAGAGAGAAAGCAAGAAGCTGAATTGGGAGAGAGAGTGAGGTACGCAAGGTTACAAGTTGCTGACTCTTGAAGGTCGGCTCGCAATAGGCGCTCGAAGTACAAACTGTAATTAAATAATAAGCCCGAATATGCTGGCGCTAGTGCCAAGAGGCCGTCGCTCACACACTCCACACTCGCGCGATTATTCAACTCAAAAACTCTCACACTGCACACTCTAAATCACACTGTTCAGGATTTACAGACTCAAGGCACGAGTATTGAATCGTCAGCTAAACACGTACGCTCGCGTTGAAGTTCGATCACCGAATCAGCCGCGCCAAGAGAATCAAGCGCCCTCCTCGCGGTCCGCGCGTTCGATAGTCGAACCGTCTCTCTCTTTCTCTCCGTCCTACTCTCTCTCTCTGTTACCTACCTTGCTTCAGCCTATTGAAATTAAAATGACATATAATATACATTTGACTTATATTAATAAATTAGAATATAGGAGAGAGAGAGACATAACGAGTATCATTTACACTCGTTATAATGCATAAATTGAATATATATTCTAAAGGATCTTTTATATAATGTATAATAATTTTTAATGTGCCTATATTTATTCCATCAACTCCACCTGCCTTCTTTTTCATTTTCATAACAATTTTTTCAATTTCTTCACTAGTTGTATTAGATAAATATATAGATGCCATATGTCTTTTTTGGTACATGTAGGTTTTCATTATTTGGTTTTTGGATTTTCAAGCTAAGCTCTGGTCCTATTTTACAAAAATAGCAGTTATTCATATAATTTGCTATTTCTGATTCGGTTTTCATCTTTATATTATTATCTTTTATTATCAATCATTTCCTTTTCTATTGTTTTTTCCTAATTTAGTATTTATTAGGTTTTATAGTTTTTTTTAGGTTTTTACTATTGAATTGAACTTGTTGTTTTTTGAATTTCATTTTGGCATCTTTTATTACTTTATCTAGAGTTTTGGTACATTTTTTATGTTCGTCCTTAAGTATCGTGCTTTTTGGATCTTTTTTCCATAGCTTATATAATAGTTCTTTTTTTTGGCACGATATCATGATAGCCTCAGTTATCCAATTTTTTCTATTTAGATTTTTGTTATTTTTATTGAATGTGTTCTTTATTTCTGCATTGTCTGCACATGTTGTTATCTAAACTAACAATTTGTTCAGGGCAATGTTTTTCGTGATATTCTAAATATTCTAAATTTCGTGGTATTCTAATTTGCTTTTTAGACATTTCTTTTCAATTAACTGTAGTTTATTGATAGAATATTTATTTCTTGGACCATTTTAGATTCTATTTTATCTATTGTGACGAAAATTGGTAAATGATCATTAAAAACATTCTCGACTGTACGAGGTGTGTTCAAAAAGTACCCGGAATTATCGTTTTTCCAAAAAAATATTTATTTATTCGTTTACATCAATGTGGTCCCCTTCAAAGTAATCCCCCCTGATATAATACACTTATGCCAGCGTTTTTTCCAATCTTCGAAGCACTCTTGATATTCACTTTTTGGTATGTCCTTGAGCACTCTTAGCGATTCGGCCTTTATTTCTTCAATCGAGGAAAAACGCCGTCCTTTCATGGGTCTCTTCAACTTTGGGAACAGGAAAAAGTCACACGGAGCCATATCTCGTGAATATGGAGGTTGAGGCACGACTACGGTATTGTTTTTGGCCAAAAAATTACGAACAAGCAACGACGAGTGAGCAGATGCGTTATCGTCATGCAAAAGCTATGAATTGTTTTTCCATAAATCGGGGCGTTTTTTTCGGATTGCTTCACGCAAACGTCGCATAACTTCAAGGTAATACTCCTTATTAACCGTACGACCTCGTGATAAGAACTCATGATGCACCACGGCCCTGCAGTCTAAGAAAACTGTAAGCAAAATCTTCACATTTGATCGAACTTGACGTGCTTTTTTCGCTCTTGATGACGTTGAATGCTTCCGGGTGGACGATTGTGCTTTGGTTTCGACGTCATAACCGTACACCCATGTTTCATCACCAGTTATGACCCTTTTTCAAGCAAACTTGGATCGTCGTTGACGTCGTTTAACAGCTCCTGAGTGATGTTCATGCGATTGTTTTTTTGGTCAAAGTTCAGCAGTTTTGGAATGAATTTTGCTGCCACCCGTTTCATGCCCAAAACATTTGAAAAAATGTTATGACATGAGCCATTGATATGCCAACTTCATCAGCAACTTCTCTAATTGTGATTCGGCGATCATTCAGAACCGTTTTTTCCACTTTTTTCACATTTTCATCGATTGTTGACGTGCTGGGTCGACCGGAGCGTTCGTCATCTTCAACGTCTTCGCGGCCATCTTGGAAACACTTATACCACTCGTAAACACTTGTTTTTTTCATAGCAGACTCACCATAGGCTTTTTGTAACATTTCACACACTTTGTTACACTTTATTTCATTTTTTACGCAAAACTTAATAGAAATTCTTTGATCCATTTCTTTTAAAAAACGAGAATCGCCGAGCTCACAAAAACACGTCAAACCTTAGCGACTACCGCAGACAAAGTAAACAGGGAATATAGCTGAAAATTTTATCATACTTCAGGGGCATATATACCAACACAATAAAAAAAAATTTTGACAATCGGACTCTTCAGACCCGCGAAATTTAAAAATTCCGGGTATTTTTTTAACACACCTCGTATGTGCAGTATATTTAATACATTTTTTTTAGTAACAAAGTTGTTTATATAAGTTCCTCCAATATTATCATTAGCAGGTCTTGTTATTCTTAAAAAGCAAGGAATGTACTTGTGTTCAAGTAAGTTATTCACGTGTTCTATAATTGTATCAAAATTTGTAAATTTGTCTTATTGGCTTTGTAACGGTGAAATCCAGCCGTTCTCGTTCAGGTAGCTCGCGACTGTCCGTACAAAATTGTTTGATTAAAAGGAGAGGATTCGGGAAGCAAAAGACCTTCCCACGCTCGAATAATGCGTCGAGTAAACGCACTAAACGTACACGAGAAAGCTAATGCGGGATCATGGGAGAGAGAGAAAGAGAGAGAGAGAGAGAGAGAGTTCACAACACCGACCTGCTCCGAGCTCTTGATACTCGTTCTGCCGTTCTTCAACTCTCCTCTCCTAGATTTCCTCTTTGTTTTCTGCTTCAGTAGTCGATTCTATTGTTAAAGTTAATGCTATTATTCTTGTTATCCGTTGTGATCTGTTATTACTATTATTTGTTGTTGTTGAGATTGTTGTTGAATATTGAGTGTATCTATTGTTCTGATGTTTGTTATTGTATGTAAGCGTGTGTGTTGTAATATCTATTGTTGCTGTTGTGGAGTGGATGATCGTTTATTAGTGTTGTAGTCTCTGTGCCTATTGTGTCAATCACCGCACGCGCGCACAAACCGCGTCACCTCGCTGGTTAACCCACGTGTACCGGTGCCGGTCTCGCTGCACTCGCGGTTTCAATTTTTTAGTCGCTACACTAACAATATTTCCTTCGCACACCGGGCACGTATCCTTTCACTGTTCATGGTGATGGCGCGGGAAAACTCAGCCAAACAAACGTACTCAAAATGAAAAGCTTTGTGCGCGCGGCGGTCTATCTAACAGCTCTCAATCTACTACCGATTTTCTTTCTCTCTTCAACATCGTATGCGCGCACAGGTCTGTCATTGGCTCTCCTCTTCTCTCTTTCTCCCCCCTCTATCTTGCGTCTCTCTCTCTCTCTCTCTCACTGCCTAGTTCGTCGGCTCCCTCCAGCACGTTGTCGCCGCCGTCGCACCTCGAAAAACAGAGAATCAACCGATAAGAGTGTGCTCAAACAGCACACACTCTCAGCATGACAAGGCGCACAGGCATTGGTGAGAGCTCGACGGAGAGCAACAGCCGAGCCGTGATTCTCCGGTACAGCTTTATTAATAATATCTATATTAAAATCTCCAACAATGCAGTGATTCTTTGTATTATTTTGTTCTATGATACATTTTTTCAGGCTATTAATAATTTTAGCATATCAAAAGACATACATCTGTAGATGGCTGAAATTTTGAGTTTCATTTCACCTATCATTTTTATTTTTAACCTTACCATTCTCAGTCTATCAGCTAGAACTATTTCAGTATTTTCATTCAATTTTTCTTTAATATATATTATAACTCCATCTGCTTTATTTATGGTCTTTCATTATAATAACTTTTATATCCTTCTAGTCTATAGTAACTTGAGTTATGTAAGTTCCAAGTTTCTGTGTCCGTAATTACACTTGATTTAACTTCAAGATTTTCAATAAAAATTTCTAATTTATTAAAATTTGCAGTTAAGCTTCTAATATTTATACATGTGAGTAAGCTTTTATCACTCGACAGATTTTCATTGAAAGATTTCAGATCTTTATATACATTTTTGTTATTTATTAAATCGTTGGTATTAACCCTTAATTGCTATGTGGGGTAGATTTACCCCAGACAATTATTACAATAAATAAAATTTATTTTATTTTTTTTTCAACAATTTTTTTCAGTGTGTGTAACATTAAAAATTGTTAACCTGAATATTTTTTTTGAAGCAAAAGGTTTGAAATATACTAGAAAAAATTTTCATAGCAAAATATCTTAAATTCTCTGATTTATTCGATGTTTTTCGGGCTGGGGTAGATTTACCCCACCGAGCAGTTACATGGCCAAAATGAGGTGTGCAAGTTAAGGGTTAAAGTACTTATTCATTAAGTTCAGGACTAAGCCATAATTCTGTTACGTAATATCGCTGTTGCTGATATTGAAATATGTAAGCTAAAAAGAGTTTTTGTGGAATTTCAACGGAAAAAATAAAAATCCAAGAATGATTGTCATATTTTCTATCATTGATCAATATCTATCATCTGAAAACATTAATCAGTAATTATTAAATTTCAGAGGTGCATAGTAGAAATATAGAAGATCATGATAGTCGACCAGTCAATGGTGAAGCCCATTCAGATGGAATCAATCATGATCATGACATGGAAGAAGGTATGTTATTATCTTTATTTGTATTATGTCACTATTAGTCTTTAGCTGCGTTTAGATCGCTAAATTTGTATAACATATTAATATTAGTTATAATAAAAATTAATTACTTTACTTCTGACATGCAGAAATTATTCAATTATTGCATCCAGACCTTACTCAATAAATGATGCTGGGCTCATGTAATACATTTCAATTTTATTAAAAGTAATGAAATTTCTATTGATTCTACTAATCTAAAAGATCATTTTGAACATTTAGTAAGAAATTGCTTTTGAAAATTTAGTAAGAAAGCATGAATCCCAGTAGTAAATATTTCTGGCAATTTCTGGTTCATCTACAATTGCAATAGCATTCTAATTTATTTTTCCCGACAAATTATCAGACAAAATTTTGTAGTTCCTGACAAAAATTGTAATTGATATCGTTTCCTTCTTTCCTCAAATTGGTATCGAAAAGTAGTAGTGCATAATTATTCGTGAAAAATTCTGTTACTTTAAACAAATTAGTAATGGAGTCTAACTTGAAAGAGAGCACGCACATATGTTCCAGCACTTGAATAATCGTTTTCCTCTTTTTGTGTGATATGATTGGAGGATTGTTTTGTATTGTTAAAGGTACGCATCTACGTAAGAAAAATTTTTCCTTTTAAATCACCTAGCTCAAGCCACTTTTCATCCTCTCATAAAATTGTATAGATTAAAATGGTCCGAAGCAAGCATTTACGCGTGTGCGCGCACGCGTGCGCGCGTGTGTTCGTGTTACTGACAAGGAACCCCAACCCGAACTCACCGATTTTGATAATTCTTGTATATAGTTAGTTTATTTATTTACAACTTATATGTTACATTACTTTACATCTCTTATATTACTATTTGTGTCTCGTATCCAGTTTGTGTAGTTGATTGTGTGTGTGTGTGTGTGTGTGTGTGTGTGTGTGTGTGTGTGTGTGTGTGTGTGTGTGTGTGTGTGTGTGTGTGTGTGTGTGTGTGTGTGTGTGTGTGTGTGTGTGTGTGTGTGTGTGTGTGTGTGTGTGTGTGTGTGTGTGTGTGTGTGTGTGTGTGTGTGTGTGTGTGTGTGTGTGCGCGTGCGTGTGTGTATATGTTGTGCAAATATGTGCCTTTGTAGGTGTGTCTGCAACTCTTAAGGCCCCGTCTTCTACGCCTGCCTGTTCCTCTTTTCTTCTCATTTTTCTTCTGATTACTCTTCTCTTCCTCTTTCTCTCTCCAAGATCTGCCTTTTCCTCTCTTCTGTTTTTGTCTTTCTTGCATATTTTCTTTTGCCTTTTCACCTTTGCCTTTCCTTTGCTTTTGCTGTCATTCTTGCTAATCTTTTCCTCTATCTTTCTCCTTATTAAGGCATTGACACCTTTTTCTTGTTTCCTATTGCTCCCTCTGCCTTTCCTTTCCTCAACCTCACTTATTTTTCCTTAGTATCTTATAATTTGCCTTTTTCTTTCTCTTCATCGAATCTTCTTCTTTTCCATTTTGCTCCGTCCTCCAATACTGCTTTCTCTCGCTTATGTAGTTGCTGTTACTTGTGTCTTGTGTGTGTGTGTGTGTGTGCATGTGTATGTTTATGATTGCGCGTATGTTTGTGTTTTGTGTATGTGTGTGTGTGTGTAGATGTGTCTCCGAGTCTTGCTTCTCTGTCTTCTATTTCCGTCTCTCCTTAGGGTCTTGTAGCTTCGTCTTCTTGCTTTTCTTTTTCTTTCTTTTCTTCATTTCTTCTTCTTTTCCATTTCAACTCCATCATCCACGCTATCTTTTCTTTGCTTCCTATTATTATTTTTTCCCATTCTTCCCCTTCCATTCTGCTTTTTTCACATTTTTCTACCATGTGCTTCCAATTTTCTTCCTCTTTCATACACATTCTGCATCTCTTATTTTCTTCTTTTTCCCAATACTTGCTTCCTATCGTTTCATTACCTAGCCTAAACCTTTCCCTTATTTGCAGGCCTTTTATTCTTCCCTCTCCTTGAATTTCCTTTAACCTATACCTTTTCATTTCTTCTTTCAGCTCTTTCCACTCGTTTATGTATCTTGATTTTTCTAGCTTTTCTTCTAGTTCTTTTTCATCTTTTTCTTCAGCTCATCTCTTATTTCTTCCCAAAACTCTTCCCTCATTTCATCTCCCTCTTCTCTCTCTCTGTAAATTTTACTTTTTTCCAGCCTTTCCTCTCTCTCCTCCTTCTTACCCTTTTTATCTTTTTCATTTCTTTCCCTTTTCTTTAATTCTCTCCATGCTTCTTTTCTTATTGAGCCATCTATTTCTTCTCTTATTTTGTTTTCATACTTCATTGCTCTTTCTAATGCTGTTTCTTTCATTTCTTGTCTTCCTGTTTCCCATCGTATTAGGTAACTTGGCGTGTTTCTATCTAATCCTAAAACCCACTTTATGTATTTTAGTTGTAGTCTTTCTATTTCCTCATATCTCTTCCATCCCCAGATTTCTGCTCCATACATAATCACGCTTTTCGCCAGAGCATCGAACAGGTTCATCCTTAGCTCCCAGTTTTCTCTAAATAGCTTTTCTCCTAGCCCCCATAACTTTCCGAGTCCCATATTTATTTTCCCTTCTACCTTCTTTATCTGCTTTTTGTTTCCGTTATTTCTGCTTATCACATATCCTAAGTAGTTGTACTCTTTCACCATCTTTATCTTCTCATCTTCCCATTCGAATTCTTCTTCCTTCCCCCTTCCTCCTCCTCTCCTGCATTTCATCATCTTTGATTTTCCTACATTTAACTCTAATCCCCTTTCTTCCAGGTATCTTTTTAATTTTTTCAGCATTACTTTCATTCCACACATAGGTCCTTAGCAGCCGGAAATTTGAACAAAAATGACGACAAAAAGTGGCAACGGGGTTTCATTTATTATCACAAAATATACTAAAATTTACTGGAATGAAAATCGGCGGAGCAAGGATATTTGTTTTTTACATAAATTTTGATTTTTTTCATGAATTAATTTTTTTTATATATTTAATATTGCATAGCTGTCGATAATTTCGAAGAAAGTATTGTTTTTAACTGCGAGCGTGAATATAGCAGTAAGCAAAAATACTTACTTTGTGTATCTAAGTATAAGAAATTTTGCACGATACGGGTATGTGGCGAAAAGTAAACAAAAAACAGAAAAGAAAAACTGTTAAGCTATTGTACATGTTTATTTATTTATTCGGACAGATTTTGTGAAAAAAAAAAAAAAAACTTAAAACTACTAGTGGTTTTTCATCGAAACAAATGAAAAATTTCACAAATTTCATACGTTGTTCTGCTGGCAAAAAATCCGTACCTACAAATTATCTTCAGCATATGACTGAAAAATTTTCATTTTTGAATAATTTATACAAATCCAGTGGTTTCAAATTTGATGTCGGAAGCGGTAAAGCAAAAGAAGACGGGACTGTGATTTCGGCGGATGCAAGTGAATTATTGGACGCTATATTATGTGAACGACATGTAGTCGGCAAATATATTGTAAAAGTAATGGCCGACGGCGGACAAGGTTTTTTTAAAGTGTGTATGTCGATTATACCAGCTGATGATGTTATAGAAAACAATGATCAACCTTTCAAGAAAAAAAGAAAAATGTACCACGAAGGAGGAAGTGTGAGTGCAAAATCCAAGATAACTAGTGTTTATCGTTTGATAATGCTGTGTATAGTTCCTGGCATCAAAGAGACCTACGAAAACGTTAAAATTTTATTTGATTTAATACAGATCAATAATATTTCCTTTAAATTTTGATCCGATTTCAAGCTGCTCTTATTAATAAATGGTCAACAGACTGCTACTTCTTCTTTCCCTTGCCCTTACTGCAATATAACACTGGACTCTTCGAGACGTTCTTCAAATCGTAGCGATGTATTACCATTGAAAACTTATGGGATGCTTGAAAATGATCATGACGCCTTTTGTTCTATCGGAAAAGATAAGAAGGTAGCTAAGAATTACCACAGCGTTATTAATCGACCTCTATTTGAAGAAAAGACCGATTTTTGCGTGTTGGAACGGTGTGTGATTCCTGAATTACACGTACTTCAAGGTTACGTGAACCATATTTTCTGGCAGGGATTAGTTCCTCTATTAGGTCGGGAAAAAGCTCTTACGTGGCCAAAAAAATTGAATGTGATTCCAAAAAACTATCATGGAGAAATATTTGAGGGCAACGCTTGTCGGAAACTTTTAAAAGAATCTGATAAGTTGTTTGATTCAGACATTTGCAACGGAGTACGAAAATTAGCACTCTTACGCTTTGTGAACGCCCTGAAAGCCATGGATAAAGTAGTTACTGCCTGCTTTTCAACAACGCAACCAAAAAGTGATATAGATACTCTCATCGTAAATTTAAAAAAAAGTTTTCAAGCGACAGAATTATCTACAACGTTAAAAGTTCATGTTGTGACGGAACATTTAAAAGATTGTTTAGGTTTCTTGGATAACGTTGGCTTGGGGGTATGGTCTGAACAGGCTGGGGAATCAGTTCACAAAAAATTTTTAAAATACTGGAATAAATATAAAATAAATGTAACAACCGATGCTTCATATCCTCACAGACTAAAAAAGTCCGTTGTTGAATTTTCATCTCTGCATATTTAATTATATTTATTTGTCAATGCAATATGAGTTCGATGTTTGTAAAGTTTGTAAAGCGTTTGTAAAGCGTTATTTGTATAATAAAAATTGAATAATTATCTATCGAAAATAAATCTAGCTTAACAATTAAATTATTTTATTAAATTATTAATGGTTGACTAGAAAGAAAGAAAAATTGTGTAAAAAACAAATATCCTTGCTCCGCCGATTTTCATTCCAGTAAATTTTAGTATATTTTGTGATAACAAATGAAACCCCGTTGCCACTTTTTGTCGTCATTTTTGTTCAAATTTCCGGCTGCTAAGGACCTATGTGTCCACTTTCACTCTTTGCCATCATCACTATATCATCTGCGTATCCTAATGTCCATATTTTCTTCCTTCCTATCACTACCCCTCCTTCC